ATGAAGCTGACCGCAGCTTAAAAATCCAATCAGTTCATTCTATCATCTAGTTGAAAAATCTTAAAAAGTAACAGAATTACTGCGCTTTTGTAAACAGGAGCACACATGGGCGCCATGTGCTTCGCATCATCATCCAACAAAACAAGCTGCAAATTGATGTTTTCATCGATTAGCGTATATTTAACATCGTAAACTAGTAAAATTTGATATTTACACAACTTTAGCTCGAGAAGATGTGTGTATAGAGAAATATGGAAATATAACCAGTAAGAAACCGTTACTGCTTTGTATATTTTTACGCGATTAATGCGGAAATATATTAGATCTTTCTTTTTCTTTTCTATGCTTAAAATAATATTATTTTTGAGAAGTCCTTGCATTCGTTGTAACTATGTACAAACTACAAACGCCCTTTGGTTTTCAGTGAGGGATTCGAAGTATGCCCCGTTGTGTTGCTGTTGGCCGTCCACTCATTGCTGCTGGCTGCCCAAAACGATACTATCAGAAATGTAGTTAGCGCCATTTAAAAAAAAATAGAATGATCTTAATTTTTCCTAGATTTTAAGCTTTAAATGAAATCGAGAAGAAAACATCATGTCTAATAGCGTTAGCACCTATGAAACAATGTATAAAAAGTCAAAAAATGATAATCTATGCCAATAAAAATGCGTACCTAGCTTTATAATTTTGCCATTAAATCTACATAGTATTTCCAGAAAAAAATTGCCGTGAGATTATCACATAAATCAGATGACAAGTCATAGATCTTTTATTATGCGGCGGTGTTAAGTGCTGAGTAAAGTTGAGTGTTTATAAATAGGTAGGTACTCAGTACGTACATTTTCTTCGAAATAGTTTTTTAAAGTTATATTTCGTTCTGTAAAAAATAAAATACAAAGTAGCACGTCACCATTCAATGATTCTAAACCCCCTTGTCAATGAACTAGATTATATAAAAAAATCGATCAGACTATCCTAAGATAACTATCATAACATCATAACAAACATGAGGTCACAGTCAGTCTCTTGAATATTCGACAGCGCTGTGAATTTAAATACAAATGTAAAAATTCCCAAACAAGCTTCTAATCAAACAGTTTTGCTAAACACAACCCTCATTATGATGTACAAGGTGCTAATTAGTGCTAAGTAGAACGATATTAAGTAATAAATACATTATGTACAGTAACTGAACAGGCGAGGTGGCATAAGATAAGCTCCCGCACTTACTGACGCCGAGGCTGTGGGAAATTGGAAACGTCAGTGAGATGCGTGACTGCACTTACTATTGTTCTATCTGGGTAGGTCGAACTGTGATTCTCCAACTTTAGAAGAATATGCAGGATGAAAAATGCAAATGAGAATTGACTATCTACCGAATGAGAATATATCATCACCAGCCTATAAGTGCCCACTGCTGATCAAAGGCCTCTTGTGACACGGAGAAGGTTTGAGCAATAATCATCACGCTTGTTCAATACTTAGAACTTAGGTATAGGTACAGGTTTCTTCGCGATGCCTTCGTTCTAAGTGGTGTCTAAATAACATTTATACATTGTTATTTTTAGCTTGTAACAGTGTTTTGTCCTCTTTGGAGTAACAACCAGTATCGGCAGTCACAAACAACAACAAAAAAAAATTTAGATTGAACGAAAAACAACTGAAAAAGTTGAAGACATTACATTACTGCGAACAAACTCAAACATAGACGATAACATCAGGATGAAAGCAGATAACTTTTTTATATTTTCAACAGCGAAATCTAATGCAGTTGCGTTGTAAATGAAATATATTACGCACATGTTTGCATATTAATAGATACGGTACATTATGGTGAGCGGTGCATCTAGTTTCGTGTCTCGCAACACTGGTAACTCGGGTACTGTCGATAGCTATGAATTATAGGCTCGCTACAAACTTTGAGCGCCTTATGAAGCGCAAAGAGTACTGGTTTAATTGCCCCGTAACAGATTCGACCTGACAGTAATGAGAGCGACTCAAAAACTGGTATAACCGATGATTTAATGTTTTTACGCCCATAATGTGAACTTGTTCTTGCCGTTGCTGTTAAACAGACTATTGTTGAGTGCAATTAATGCTTTTTGTCAATTTCCTTTGCATTTTGATCTGTCTGATACATGTCGTGCCCTCGTTGTATTTCATGGCAACTGTTGATTGTAGTATGTATGGCTTTCGCGGTTTCTTATATATTAATGAACAAGCCATGTGCAAAGAAACGTGGTGTTTATGTTAAGACGACATGCAATTATGCATAATGAAGTCTAAGTCTCGGTTTCACATTCCTAGGATGTATAAAAAAAATTTTTAATTATTTTTATATTCTTTCTCGGTGTATTAATATGTAGATAAAATGGAATAACTTTATATGATATAACAATATACATACATTATACAACTAAGATACTTAAGATTGAAGTATTGTGAAAAGTTTAGCAATATAGTCGAGTTCACAAGGTTTTAAAACATTAATTATAGCTTATAGAATTTGAAATAAATATAAAAATAATCCGTAGAGAAGGTGGCGACGACCCGTGACAAGCTGCAGAACTTTATAGAACAGAGTCATTCAGTGCCATCTATCGGTCGTATTGGCGCACATCTTTGAAATTTGACAGCTGGTGAAAGTGAACGCTGCAAGCTTCCCAAACGAAAACCTAGATGTCTACTTAGTGTTTTTGTTAGTTTTTATATGGAGAGAGAGAGAGAGAGAGAGAGAATAAAAATCCAATAATATTTATCCTACCTTATTAACTCTTCCTAAAGTTCAAACTCGATAAATGATGCATGAATAATAAAAATCTAAAGTTTTTCTTTGTGTAGTCGGTCAACTGTGTGCATTTGAAACCATCAGTCTGTAACGAGCAGCAATTTGCACCAGCATGCTTATTAGCACACATAAATCATATTCCCGCTATTTGTTTTACTTAATGTAAGCAAATTACGTGTAAATAACGATGCAATTCCATTAAGTTCTTAGATTAAGTTTCGAAAGATTGATGATAAAATAAGTGATTAAGTCATCAGTGTAAAGAACGGTGCTTAGCTTTTTTAAGGTGTTAATGGTCGATGTTATGTTTACTTACAAGCCGTATAGCTTGTAATACTGAAGAGTAGGTATTTGTGTGTTAAAAGCGAATTCTGCATTTTTTCTCTCAACGACAATAAAATTAAGAACAGCTTTAAAATGGCCATGCTTCTAATAAAAGTCTGAAATATTCAACGTAACATACACAGTAGGTAAAATACATGTTTTCAACTACAAGCGCTTATTTCACTATCTTATAAGTTCCCTGTAAACTTATGTGGCACACAGTTTTATAAGTATATGGTATGAACGTATAATAAATACAGACACTGTGAAGCCGTTCCAAATCTCACAAATTCGGTTTCATAATTTGTTAATAATGTTATTTATTAAACTTAAATAGACACCTATACCTAGTAGGTAGACCAGCTATATAATAATAAAAAAAAGGAATAATAAAACAATAAATAGGCTTTATCTGATAACTGCAATGCAGTATTATTTTATTCCATTATGTGTTTTTTTTTTTTTTGTGAGGGGAAAATCATCAAATGACTTCTCCCGCCCAGGGCCGGGCAGGAGGGAGTGTCAGACTCTTACTGACTAAAAACCCCCCTGTTCCTTCTCCTGCTCTGTGCCGAGGTCGCGGTACCTTATTGCGCTCTTTGAGGCGCGCGCGGAACGCTACGCGCCGTACGCTCGGGCCTGGTTCTGGTCGGGCGGCGAGCTGCCCTTACTCGCCAACGCAGGCCCGTACTTACGGTGGCTGGAGATCGTCCCTCGATCCCCGACGCCCGTAGTGTCGCCAGTTGCGGCTGCTGGGGCGTGAGGAGGAGGATTGCTCCCTCACGCGGGCCGCCTCTCTCTTTGCGAGCATGACTGCTTCACAAAAGGAGGAGACGGCGTCCCAGTTCCTCTCACTCCGCACCATGGCCTCGACTAAGGCCGGGCGCGAGAGGTCGCCGCCGCCGATCACTTCCCTGAGGATACGGCGGTGCTCAGCCCAGGCAGGGCATACCGCTACCGTATGCTCCACCGTATCCTCTAGGTGGTCCTCACAATGACGACACTCGGGCGTTTCCTCCCGCTGAATCCGAAACAGGAACCTACCGAAGCTGCCGTGCCCGGTAAGCACCTGCGTCAGACGGAAGGTGAGGACGCCGTGGCGTCTCTCAAGCCACTCCTCAAAGAGGGGTCTTACCGCTGCTATGGTAGCGTGCCCATTATGTGTAAGTTTGGCATTTGTACACAATAATACACTTATTAAATGCTTGCAGTGCTTATAATTTTTTTTTTAAGTTTCAGATTAATATTATGGTACACAAAGATTTAGACCTATCCTTAGTTTACGCCATTTTAAAATGTAAAGGTAGGTTCCACCAACATTCAAAATTTTACAATACGTAGGTCAGTTTGTGCGAAGGCTGGCTCCTGGTATTTTTGAAAAACATCTTTAAGTGCAGTAAATAATCCTTAACAACATACAAAACAATGAAAATAGACCTTGCCCACGTGTAAATAAATCTAACGTCACTTCAAATATTTCAATTTTTTAAGCTTATGAACAGAGATAAAATTGTACAGAAAGAAGAATGTGATAAAAAAAGATTATATAGAAGAATGGCCAGAAAAAATATGATATTTTTTTTTCCTTCTCTTCTTTCTAGATAATACGTCTCTGTTTCACAAAGGTAGAAAATGCCTTCGGCATTATGTCGGCCATTGGGCAACAATTGTGCAAAAAGTTTTTAAACAAATAGTGCTAGAATTCGAAATTTGTAAAGTGTCAGCAGATTTTTACTTATGTCATAAACTCGGCTCATTTTCGAGTGCAATTATACTGAATAAAGCCAAAATAAATGTGATATAGAATGCCGTAAGAGTTGAGTAGAAGTAAACGGTCATTATAAATCAGAAGAATATTAATTGTCGTATAGATTAGAATAAAATATTTTTAACAGCTACGTCGATAAGCAATAGGCTTCCTATTAGTCTGAGGACAAGGCTTGCGGTATTGTCTCAAGGCAAGGTTGAAATCATAGAAACTCATATGATGAAAGGAGAAATACTCTGGATTCTGATAGTAGAAGCATTTGCCCGCGTTGCGTCCAAGGACCTGAAAATTAACAAGAAATATGTAAAGATTGAGGTGTCAATAAATGTAGTTGTCAGGATTGTTACATTGTATGTATGTACAAATTGACGTATCCTTCAATAAATAGCATAAAGGCAATCCTGGCGTTTGGTTTGGTTTAGTATTTTGGCTATATAAGAACGTAGGTATATTGTTTCTCTGAATGGGCACACCCTGTCATATCAAAGGTATTATTAATCCATATCATCCAAATAAAAGGTATTATTAGTCTTAATTAAAAACCTATTTGATGAAGAATCTGACTGCTTTGCTAAGTTACTAAGAAATGAAACAATGTAGATATCTCTCACAATGAATTCGGAAGAAATTTTAATAAACTGTGTACGTATGTTGATACGATTAATAATATTTAGGTTATTTTGCTATAGGCACTTTCTGACAAAATCAATACAGATACTTAGTAACAATATGATAGGTACCTCTCCTGTGGTGTTCCTGAACACTCCGGTAGGTATATCTGGCAAAGTTTCGAATTGAGGACACACATTATTAGCTGATAGCTTGTGACCCAACTTACGACACTGAAAATGATATAAATAAAGATTACAATAATGTTGAAAATTAAAGTTACTATTAACTCATTCCAAAATGTGCTTAGTTTTCTATGGAGAAGAAGTAGGAAGAACCTCCATGGTAGCTCTAAGCCCGTATGACTACGAGCTTCGGAACTGGGTCTCTACTCTGTGTCACATAACTGATGAAAAGTGGGTACCGGGTAAGTTCGGGTTACTTTGACCCTGCGGGGTAACTTTGATCCAAACTTTAACCAATAATAACTGAGAACCAAACATATACCTATTCGTTTTTCATTGGTTCGAAAATTTGGATCAAAGTTACCTCCCAGGGTCAAAGTAATCCGAACTTACGGTACTTATAGATTGCTAAAATTAATTAAGGTGCATTTGCTTATCACCATGTCTGGCTGCTAAACAATTACTGTTGATCAAAGACCTCCCCTTGAGACTTTTAAATTCACGTCGACACAGTATTGTAAACATACTCACATCATACAGGGTCGGAGCTCCCGGATTATCCTTCGAGTCTGCGTCACTACCACTACCACTGGTAGAACAGCTTCCAAACCGCACCGTGATATCACTCAGCTTATATGGGTAACGTACCACATTGAACTTTGATATGACTCTAGGGGTCATGACCCCACGAACTAATTTAGGCATCACCGCCATTGCTAATAGATTTCTATCAGGTGCACTCACGAAGAATTTATTTCATTTTTCGACAAAAATATTTGAAGTTACTGGATATGGTTTTTGTATTATTTATTTCACATTTTGGTTTTGTTTGTTGTGTTTAATTTCAAAGTTTACCATTTTAACATGGCGATGATTTTGACATATTTCAGAATTTGATAAATGTTTTAATGTTGAAAAAGAAACAAGATGAAAGCTGCCAGCCTTATTAAGTGTTACTAATAATAAAAACTGCTATCCCTATCTATACTTACTAATAGCTATTCTCGCGCGGTTTCACCCGCTGCTCAGCTCCATTTGATCGTAGCGTGATGTTTTATAGCACATTGCACTCAAGAAGATTGCAGCTATCTACCAGTGAAAGAATTTTTGCAATCAAATCAGCGGTTCCAAAGATTACCCCCTTTAAAAAACTTACAAACTTACAAACTAAAAATTTTACCTCTTTATAATATTGGTATAGATTATTTATCACGGAGTAAGAACAATTATATAATAACGTACTCTTTGTCTGTTACAAACTCCCTTCTTGGTTAATCTGGCGCAATACAAACAGATGTATAGGAAATATAGGATTCAAAATAAAGAAAAAAGAAGCAAGACTGACTGTCAAGGAGCTGGCAAATTGGGTTCGGTAGAATGGTAGTTTAAACCTGGTGCGATAGATGGCAATGGAAATGTTTACTTTTGGAAAGCGCCTGTTCCTTTAGAAAATCAAATTTCCTTAACAACATTATATTTACGCGGGTATTAACGCGGAAAATTATAATTTGAATACCTTGGTAGGCTTGACGTTTCGACCCGGTTGCACAAATTTATAGCAGAAAATATGTAGGTAGTTAAGTATTGTTTTTTCAGGAGACATTTCTGGCTTCAGATTCCGTTGAAATCTCAGGTGGCTACAGTCAATCATAATATATAATTAGTAGAACGTCAGGATTGAGGAGCCAAAAAATGCGATAACATATAAAATTTACTCTGTTTTACTATTTTATTCCTACTTACACAGCAAAAACAAACACAACATCTGCTAAATGATCATTATGTCGAATTTATTAATTGATCACCCACATCTAATAGAAATGCATCTCTTGAGTTAAGATCGGAATTTAGATTAGAGGAGCCATATTAAAAGTATTGTATTTTCCTTTAAATACAATACAATATTAAAAGTATTGTATTTTCCTTTCAATACAATACTTTTAATATGGCTAGATAAAGGATAAATAAAGAATGTAGCAATTATTTTTACTAACCCAAGGAAAAGTGCCTGATAAAACAATAAAGGCAAATAGTTGCAAAGTTTCTTCAGTCAACGGTATTGCGACTTTATGTTATGAGTAGGTCTGTAATTGGAAGTGGTGGCAAGTGGAAGCACATAAAAAGGATATCATAAATAAAGACGTCGGGTCGTTTTTCGATAGGTCATTGTAACATTTCGATTCCGAATTTCGTCAGCTTTGTAGTGACGTTTATATGTACATGTAGCTTTGTTTGTAGGGGGGGGGGGCTCTAACTCTATGTAGACAGTAAACCAAACTCTGATCCTTGCAAAAAAAACAGATGTTGGTGTACCATCTAATGAAATTATTTTTTTAGAATTCAATTCAAATGCAATAAAATCTCGTAAAGAATAACTAACGCCCGGTTCCTATAATTGAGAAACGATCCGTTTTAATTACGAATAGTAGTTTTATATACGACTCGTAAGCTAAAACCGTTTCTATAATAAACGTCTCGTCGTGCAACTTACTGACGGTTTGCAACTAACGGATATCGGTAAGCGAATTGTATGGAGATCTATGGTGTCTGTGGTGTTCCTATAAATATTTTAACCGTCAGTAGACGGTCAAGATAACTATTCGTAATGTCATTTGGTCGTAATGTCATACAACGACGATTCGTTAAATATAGGAACCGGGCATATATGATTTAACACCTTTAGGTATATATATACTATGTCGGCATGTCGGCATTCCGTAAGTTCTTGAGAATTAATTAAAGTATTTGCGGCTTCTTGTAAATTATTAATGGTTGAATTAATATCGACATGTAGAACAGGTATCTTACGCTGAACTCTATTATTTCACAATCTGATTCTGTACAATGTTTACTTTCATCTGCACTTTATATACAGTCTAAAGTGCGTTTAAATATATGATTTACATTGATTGCACTCACGTCTTAGTTTTTACAGAAGATTCTAGTTAAACTTTTCAAAAATAGACTTGCGCCATCCATTTCACATTTTATTTGTATACCTACTTCTTCTGTATCTCTTCCACTCATGAGTTTGACAAGTTTACAGAATGAATTTTCCGCTCTTTGCCCACCGTACACCTCGTGAGACCACCTAGGTGTGCAGCGGGAAGTTTTTTTTTACTACTGTCCACCTGGGTGTACCTACCGTGGGAAATATAAAATTTCCTCCGCCTCCTTTATTATCAAAACTATATCTGAAGAGCAAAGAAATTAATGATTAAAATACGATATTCTCCTCTGTCTTCTACTGATTGCAAACGGGTGCCATGAAGTGGTAATTTGAGTTCAGGAAAAAGATAGAATTCGGCTGGACCCATATCTGGCGAATATGGTGGTGGTGCTCCCTATGGTATTCGTTTAGTTTTAGGTCAAAAATTCATTCACAATGATGGCATGCCTTCACACATGGCCACCGGAGCAGTATACATATAATTATATATTTCCCACGATACACCCAGGTGAACAGTAGGAAAAAACTTCCAGCTGCACACCTAGGTGGTCTCACGAGGTCTACGGTGGGCAAAGAGCGGACCCAACCTATAGACACCACCAAGAGATGACATGACTTTCCTCCTCCCTTCAAAAACAAAAATGCCTAGGGTAATACTGTAAAACATTTTCTTTGATTCTTTCTACTTCTTAATCATACCCTCAGAATACAGTTTGTTCTGTATTCTGAGATCCTACCAACTAAAGTCCGATTCAAACTGTAAAGAACTCATTAAATAAAAGAAACAAGTACAATAATAAACATTTAATGCCTTTGGATTATTTTTCACTTTTTCTTAAGCTTTCGGGAAATCAGTAAGAATAGAACAACATTAGCAGAGCTTCATCACCAACATAGGCAAGCCAGCTGCCGGTCCACCACTCGCCATAGCACCTCCATCTCTTGGCGCAGAGCAACCTGTACAACATTCGGGTGTCAAGATTTTCATTACATCGCGGTGTTTCTGTGTGCCCTGTGTTACCAAGTCTCGTCCAGTAGATCCTTTCACACTACTAAAGCCACCGCCACCCCTCAGTGGGTTGCGGCCCGGCTGCGCAGATGCCGGAGTCTCGAAACAGTCAGCTTTACACGGAAGATCCCACACGCAGGGCGGCGGTGGTTTCCAATGTACACACCCAGGTCTAGTGCATTCTTCATTGGTAGTGATGTGAGATTTCGCGATATTGTTTTGTCGACCACTAGATCCAATTACCTTTTTATCATTTACTTTCAATTCTTTAGTTTCAAACCTTTGTAATATTTGGTTGAGTGTTTTTTCATCTAAGTCATATATAGACTGCATTTTTTGTGACCCAGAGCCAGACTTACATTTGCAAGAACATGGAGTTGTGGTTGGAGTATTTGGTGGGATTGGTAAAGGTTTAACCACACCTCCGGGACAAATGCATGCATACGGTTTCACTCCAGCAAAAGACGCTTGTATGTGCTCATTGTTTTTAGGCATTGCAACCCTACCACAGGTACAATTACACGAATTAGAATTCATTTCACCGGCAGGTGAGGCTTTTGTAGACGCTAAAGCACCTGTTGGAACTTTGCCTGTCATCTCGGCTGAAGTTTGTGGAGGTGTAACGAATTTAGGTACTGCAGCTGCGCCACCAGTACATATGCATGTATGAGGTTTCATTCCACTACTTACGGGGGCTTGTGTAGGTAAAAACATTTTTGGGCACTTACAGCATTTCCCGTCGTTTCTATCCGCACCTGCGTTGGGAATAATTCCCTTTAATTCGCAGACAATAAAACGTTTTCCACGGGAACTGGAGGTTGTCGGTCCACCTGAGCCACTACTGCCTTGAACGTTGGTATGGGCTGCAAGCACGGCAGGATCGGCGAGACCACGTGCACGAGCTAATTGACTAGGCGCGCATAATGGGTCGGGCAAGGCAAGACAGGCGGGCTCACCGCCACATCCAGTGCGGCGACAGTCGTGCTGGAGGCCGTTTCGCTTGATGCAATGACAACTGTAGTACATGATGCCACCGCGTAACTCACGGCTCTTGGTTCGCTTTAACTGATTTTCAGTTTCACTTTTTTTTTGCTCACCATCCTCCACCATTTGTGGACCACGACTTTCATTCAAAGGTTTGCCTTTCTGTAAAAGAATAGTAATTGGTGACTCCACTGACACAAAAAAAAAATGTCTGTCCGCCGTGAGTGATTGAATAGTAATTTACCGAAACAGACAATAGTACGACGACGAGGACGACGACGCGGACAAGCCTTCTAGCACTACCACTGTGATATTAGGTCGAAGTCGCTGAAGCGTGTGACGTAGGTCTTGCCGGGTGGTGGGCGTCGCACACACGGCGGACAGCATGGCGGACACGGCCTGGGGCAACAGCAGTCTGCCCGGCACAGGTACCGTATTGAGCCCTGCTGGAAGAACTGGCAATCTTGCAATCCATTACGCTTGAACGCAGATCGCGGGAGACACTGCAGCTGAATATCGACATTGCTATTAGATCTCTTATCACAAATATTTATACTGGACATTTCATTTGTTTTATAGAAACTTACCGGAGGGCCGCAGTCTTCATATTTGTAGCAAACCATGGGACCACACGGAGAACACCTAACAACAAAACAGTTTTAAAACACTTAGAATTCAAAGATCAGCCTTTAATAGCTAGTTCATACAAGTTTTTCATCGACTAACTATTTAGTCAAGCTGCGTGCTTCATGTGAATTCAACACAAACAGTTTAGTCAAGGGAACTGTGCATACAATCAATTTTATAGTTTCTTCCCTATAAAACCTCAAAAGACGTCTGTAGACGACGATGTCAAATCGTGCAGGCGAATGCAGTGGCCGCGGTGACGTTCGCTAAATCGCATTCCCGTTCGAAACCTGATCCAGCTGATATACCGGACATATCATAATGCAATCATTGCGGGGTAGTCTGTTTAGGGTCGTGTAGTCGTTTTGTCAAAATGTAAAACACTATCAAAGCGGCAGTTTCGACGAAATTCTAGATTACATAAAGAGTTAGTAGAGCGTTTTCACACTATCCGATCCAATATCGGTGTAGGACACAATAACTGATATCCGATTAGCCGACACCATAAATATTATTAGGTATGCTATTTTCACATAGGTATTTCCGACAAAATCGTTCCGATACGGCCATTGGCTAAGGCGTTTGCATAAGCTTAGTGCGAGCAGGTTATCATGGAAAACTTATTAAAATGAAGACGACGCCATGAACTAAACTGTAAACAAGCTCAGAATGGCCGCCACGCATACTGCTCTACGCACACAGAATTTTTTAACGCATTTAGATACACGTATAGCATACATACAAAAATTAACGCCTGACGGGGCTCGGGGCTCACGGGGGGGTCCGATGGTGCCGCTAGCATATCGGTATCGGCTCCGATATCTGATGTCGGGCCGGACAATATGAAAGGTAGGTACAATGTACCTACCCATATTTCATACATTTTACTTACCCCGACATTGGATCGGCGTCCAATACCGATATCGGATCGGATAATTTAAAAAACGCTCTTATTCTGTACCTACAGAATAAGAGCTTTTTTAGGTACCTAAAGTGAAATATTTCGAACAATGTACAAAACATGTGTCGGTGTTGGGAAGCCGGGAAAGCACCCACCGACATTTCACTGTGCCATCTTCGTCATTATTTCTGCCTTAGAATTACTTAAACTCCGCCCCCTAAGGCTACCCGCTGACCTTGAAAACTAATAAAATAGTATTTACCTTAGAAATATACTTACATTCTTAAAGATTTCAGTTCTCCTCTAGCACAACGGGAAGGAGGGTTTTTTATATATTTTTAGTATTTTTAGGATTATTACGGATTAGAAGATCATTAAATTAGCACAGGAATTTTGGCTTTTTATTTTATTAAAATTTATAAAAAAAAATTAGTATAAAATTTACATCTGAACTAGACGAAGTGAAAAATTCTTCTGTCAATGTATTTTTTTCTTTTGTCTGTCTTTCGAATATCTGTTCATTTTTTGAATATTCTGTTTATACCAGTATCAATATCTTTTTAAGTTTTTATGTTTCCATAAAAACTTCTTGAGGCAATCGGAACCATGTTGAAAGTAGGTACTTAAGTACTTAAATAATATCAAGTTTTTATGGTATAGGGCGTTTAGTTTGCGCTATGGATACTTGCATCACCAGACGAGTTGGAAGTCTTGTCACGGTGAACCATACCCAGGGTGTCGCTTTACGCCAGTACCTACTTGAAATGCCGCCTAAGCGTGCCGAAGCATGTTTCTACCACACTTATAATTTCAATTCTTTATCCAACATGTTCAAACTCTTGAATGATAATAGGTAACAACTAGTACCTATATCTTTATATACATAATTCTGCTGTACGCGTATATGTCATTGAAATCCTCCTAAACGGCTTGACCAATTGAAATAATTTTTTTCTGTATGCGTTTGAGTGACAAATCAGCCCGGTAGATGGCGCTGGTTGTTTGAAAAAGCATGTGTTCTCGGAAACGGCCCTAACGATTCGCTGTTTGATGCGTAAGGGTTTTCGAGGAGGGTCCACTAGTCTATATACTTATCTATAATAGTAGTAGACGGCAAATGTAGGTGCATGAAACACCATCATCCAAATCCTTATCTCGCACTGGGGTTATTTGAAATGCGAATTGTTTCCTTATTAAAGTTCTTTATTTAAACAATAAGCATTCAATAAAGTTCTACATATATGGGCGAAGTTTGCAAATACTGCTTAACTCCTCGGCGTGTGGATTAGCACAATGCGTTAAACATGCCACTCGTGCCGGTTCACAAAGTGGTGCCGGGAGATATGAACAGAGCGGGCTATTTTGACATCCAGTTCTACGACAATCGTACTGTAATCCATTTCTTCGAAGGCAAAAACAGTCGGTATAAAGAATACCACCCCTCAACTCCCGACTTTTGCATGGACGAAGAGATTTCGCATGATTTTTATTTGAGTGCTGCATTTTCATAGTAGTGACAGGGTAGTTTTTGCTCTGGTATTTGCTATTTGTAAAATCAGGGCAATCAAACGTCACTTTTGGATATGCAATGTTCTGTTTTAAACAATTTTTATTAAAGGCATAAAGTTTGTAATTTTCATTAGCGCTGTTCATAAATTTTGACAAAGAAGTACATTGTATAGGATTTACAAATTTTCTGTTTTCATTTAGGGTTTTCTTAAATGAATGTTTTTTTTGTTTGGTTCTGTACATATTATGGTTAGTCATTTTACCAACTTGCTCTCTTATGCAACACGGCAAAACGATTTGAAAATTTGGGGAATTTCCTGGAGGCACCTCACTTATTTCAAAGCAGGAAATCCCTTCATCTTGCTCCGTGTACTTAACATTAGACTTTGGTAATTCTTCGGTGTCACAAAAGTTATACTTCATTTTTCCAAGTAGTTATTTATTTTTATATGTGGTTAATCAATTATTGAAAAATAATAATTGTCGAAAATTTCGAATGAGTCAGTCCATACTTGTTAATTTAGTTAAATGAAAAGCATTGTAAAATCCCTCCACGACCACCTTGATTGTGATGCCATATACAAACTTTTTGTTATTTGAATTAAAACCTTTGTAACCTTTGTTTGTTTTTATTGACAATGCTGGCCATAATTATTAGAAGTGAAACACACAATAAAAACATAAATATATATTTGATTCCGTATTCAAACGCAATCCGAGGTGTTCTGTAGAAGTAAAATTCTTGATATGGGTAGTACAATCAAATCATTTGAGTGATTCACACATTAATAAAAAGTACCAAAAAAATCTTTTATCCTTCTAAAATCTATTAAAAATCTAGTTCCTTTCCACAACTTTGCCGGTCCTTTAGACCAGTTTTTAGGCCTTTACGTACTCTTTACACTCAATAGAAAATGTAAGTATAGTTCATCATTTGTAATAAATCGTGAAAATCTCTTCCCAGTGCATCTTCAATATTTGGTAATTATTATTTTATTCGTAGGTGTTGCGGACCTTGTGGTGGTTGCTGCGGCGGTGGCTGCTGCGGCGGTTGCTGTTGCCCCTGCATCACTATCTACACTTGCTGCACGAAGATTTGCTAGTAGCGCCTGAGACTAGGCGCAGGCAAGCCATGGTGTCTGCGCCGAAATCAGCGCTTCGACGCCTGCATGTTCGTCTTCGAAGTCAATCCGTGCCGTTTTGTGGAAATAAACTAATATAAATAAGCGTACCTATTCGTTTTAATTGTAGCTAGCAGTAAAATTATTCACAAGGGTTCGAGGGGTATAGAGGGACATGGTAGCGGGCTGGCTGGGTTCGAGGGTATAGAGGGACATGGTAGCGGGCTGGCTGGGTTCGAGGGTATAGAGGGACATGGTAGCGGGCTGGCTGGGTTCGAGGGTATAGAGGGGCATGGTAGCGGGCTGGCTGGGTTCGAGGGTATAGAGGGGCATGGTAGCGGGCTGGCTGGGTTCGAGGGTATAGAGGGACATGGTAGCGGGCTGGCTGGGTTCGAGGGTATAGAGGGACATGGTAGCGGGCTGGCTGGGTTCGAGGGTATAGAGGGACATGGTAGCGGGCTGGCTGGGTTCGAGGGTATAGAGGGACATGGTAGCGGGCTGGCTGGGTTCGAGGGTATAGAGGGACATGGTAGCGGGCTGGCTGGGTTCGAGGGTATAGAGGGGCATGGTAGCGGGCTGGCTGGGTTCGAGGGTATAGAGGGACATGGTAGCGGGCTGGCTGGGTTCGAGGGTATAGAGGGACATGGTAGCGGGCTGGCTGGGTTCGAGGGTATAGAGGGGCATGGTAGCGGGCTGGCTGGGTTCGAGGGTATAGAGGGGCATGGTAGCGGGCTGGCTGGGTTCGAGGGTATAGAGGGACATGGTAGCGGGCTGGCTGGGTTCGAGGGTATAGAGGGACATGGTAGCGGGCTGGCTGGGTTCGAGGGTATAGAGGGACATGGTAGCGGGCTGGCTGGGTTCGAGGGTATAGAGGGACATGGTAGCGGGCTGGCTGGGTTCGAGGGTATAGAGGGACATGGTAGCGGGCTGGCTGGGTTCGAGGGTATAGAGGGACATGGTAGCGGGCTGGCTGGGTTCGAGGGTATAGAGGGGCATGGTAGCGGGCTGGCTGGGTTCGAGGGTATAGAGGGACATGGTAGCGGGCTGGCTGGGTTCGAGGGTATAGAGGGACATGGTAGCGGGCTGGCTGGGTTCGAGGGTATAGAGGGGCATGGTAGCGGGCTGGCTGGGTTCGAGGGTATAGAGGGGCATGGTAGCGGGCTGGCTGGGTTCGAGGGTATAGAGGGGCATGGTAGCGGGCTGGCTGGGTTCGAGGGTATAGAGGGACGTGGTAGCGGGCTGGCTGGGTTCGAGGGTATAGAGGGACGTGGTAGCGGGCTGGCTGGGTTCGAGGGTATAGAGGGACATGGTAGCGGGCTGGCTGGGTTCGAGGGTATAGAGGGACATGGTAGCGGGCTGGCTGGGTTCGAGGGTATAGAGGGACATGGTAGCGGGCTGGCTGGGTTCGAGGGTATAGAGGGACATGGTAGCGGGCTGGCTGGGTTCGAGGGTATAGAGGGACATG